AGACCTCTCAGTCCATGGGGCAGTGCTCAATCCACTGAGCCACACGGGCCGGGCACACATAAAGCCTTTAAATATATATTTTTTTGAGATAAGCTCTTTTAAATATTTATTTTAAAAAGCTTCTCCTAGAAACTACATCAGGACTGACAGTGATAACTGGACTAAAAACCCAAGACTGGGAGTTAATTACCATTTGTAATTTTTAGGTAAAGAACGCCTTTCAGTTTATTCCCACGGCCAAGCATAACTCAGATTACCCCATAACAGTGGACAGAAAATAGGAGCTTCAGTGATCTCAAGAGCTGGCTTGAGTAATAACACCTGAAATAAATTCCCAAGTAGTCAAACCCACACAGCTGAGCCCCTGGGGCTGAAGGGTTTTCACACTTTCCCAAGTAAACTACCTGTTAACACAGATTCATGCAAAGCTTGCCTGGGCTATCTGGAACAGAAAGGATTTATGGTGGTAGGTCATCCATGTCGTTGCCGTGTCAACCACATGAAAGCTGGGGATGAGGCCACAGATGGAACGCCTGGCATCATCCCGCCCGGGGGGTCTGACAGCTGAGAGAAGCCTCCACTCTGGCAGGACTATACCCAGTTCCTGGACACTGGAGTGTTTCAGGAGAAACAGGAGTCCTAGGAGGATCGGGTCATTTTCTTTTTGACCTTTATTACTTAGCATTCATGAAGAGCCCCAGAACAGGGCCAGTCTTACCTACCTTTCCGTCGTCATTAGCTGGATCCGCAGCCAGCCTTTCGGACCCACGCTGTCCACGGCCTGGCGGTGGGGCCCGAGCCCCAGGTCTGCGAAGCGGGCACGCAAGCTGACCCGGGCAAGGAAGCCCGCACGACCCACCGCTCGAGTCTAGTGCCCAGAGGCCTTGTTCTGTTCCGCAGCGCAGAGGCGTTTCTTGAAAAGCCAGAACACCCGAACCTGTGAGACGGCCTGCCAACTATGTCACCAGCCACTTCATCTTCGGAGGACCGCAGAGCTGCTGGCTGTTGCGTTAACGCCAGGAATCCTCCCCCACGGCTGGTTTGGGATCTTGCTGCCAGACACATCCATTCTTAAAAATGGACGCATGTCTTCCAGCCCCGGCAGTTACACATTCTCTGGAACACCTGAAACTCGCCACCTAAAATAGTATCCTCTTCGTGGCCAAAGACAGCATCTAATGAGGAAGGGGTGGACTGCACCGAGAAGCGTCCCTCGCGGGCGTGTGCAGCGCTGTAGCTGCGAGGAGAGCGCGTTGGCTGCTGGAAGAGGTGTCTGCGCGTGCGTGGAAGCCAGGCCTGCACTCCTGGGGCGGCCCGCACGTGTTAGCAGGGCTTTCGGTATAGGTTGCCACCCACTGACATGCAGGCTTATAAAATAATACCGAAAAGCCCCTATCTATAGGAGTTTTGTGTAAGTACTTGAGTGTGCTTAGGTAACTACCTGAAGACAGTCTCTATAAAACGGATGCAATAGAAATGTTGAACAATAGTGATTAAATTGAAAGTTGTCTTGAGTTGTCTTGAGGTACTATATGAAAAAATCTGAGAATATACTCTTTTGAAAATTCTCAAAACGCAACAGTAAAAAGATAAATAAATAAATAATCCAGTTAGGAAATAGGCCAAAGATAGGAACAGATTATTTTATCAAACAGGTATGGATAGCAAAAAAGCATGTGAAAAGATGTTCAACGTTATTAGCTATTAATGTAATGCAAATTAAAACCACAGTGAGCTATCACTACAAACTATTGAACAACTGAAATTTAAAAAAAAAAAAAAATAGTGATAATACCAAATGCCAGTGAAAATGTGAAGAAAGTCTCCTACATTACTGGTGGGTATGTAAACTGGTAAAGCCACTCTGCAACATAGTTCGATAGTTTCTTAGCATATGACCCAGCAATTGTATTCTTGGGCATTTGTCCCAAAGGAATAAAAATTTATGCCCACACAATTACCTCTATACAAATGTTTACAGAACTGTTACTCATAATAGCAAAATACTGGAAACTTCTCAAACATCCTTCAACGGGTAAATGGATAAATGTACTCTGGTATAATCGCAATTTACTTAGCAACAAAAAGGAATGAACTACTGATACATTCAACACCCTGGAAGAACCTCAAGGGCATTATGCTTAGTTGTCGTTGTTTTTAATCGATCTTAAAACATTATATATTATGTGTTCCCATTAATATAACAGTCTCAAAATGACAAAACTCTAGAGATGGAGAACAGATGAATGGCTGGTGCAGGGATACAGATACAACGAGGTAGCATGATGAAGTGCTTTTGTGATCATGGAACCGTTCTCTATCTTGATTGTGGGAAATTTTTTTCAATCCTATGACTTTGGTAAATATTTACCTTACAAGCTAGTCAAAGTTTTAACACCCACTTTTGTACAGGATAATCCTCAAACTTTTAAAATAAGCAGTGTTGGTTTAATTAAGCTCAAATACCCATTTTTATATTTATTAAAAGCAAACAGTATTAATTTTATTGGCAAGCAACAATTTTATTGTACAAATGTGGATTATTTTGTGGTAATAACAAGAACAGGGATAAATTCTGGAGATCAGTTTGTTCCTTTTCTCTCCCTTTCTGTTGGCAAAATAGAGTCTGTACTCCTTGCTGCAGTTTCTCCAGCTTTTCCAGAAATGGGGCCGGGGGGTGGGGGGAGGTTCATGTGTAAAATTTGAGAGCTACATAGTATAATTATGGCAACCTCTTTCTCGGATCTCTACCCTAGTAAGGAATAGTTGCTTTCTAGAATAGCAACTATTCCTCTGCCATCTTAACTACTGTTTATACCAGTTTATTTTCCTGTAAGTTTTTCCGGTCAGTTTCCCTCAGATTTAGGCATCCAACTGCACAATTTCACGATGATTATTTGTTCTTTACTACTAAGGAAGAAGCAGCCTTTGGAAGGCCTGCCTGAGCCTCAGTGCCCCCTGGGGGTAGAAGGCAACATCTGAATGTTGTATAGGTAGGTGTCTTTCTGGTCCTAGCACCTACCTTGCTTAGCATGCCACATCATTTTGTAAATTTTATTACTGAGTGCATGAAAGAAACAGGAAAGGAAGAATATCAAAGAGCAGGTTAGTGATAAAATAAGGCCTTGGCACAGGCTGACCCAGGTACAAATGTAATTGTCAAAATATCAGAAAACTTACTTCTGCATGCCTCAGTTGCCTCACCTATAAAATGGTTATGATATTAATAGCATCTACCTCATGGGTTGTTGTGAGGATTAATTGACAAAATACGTTTTAAATCTCATCTAGCCCCTTGTCTGTCACATATGATGACTGCAATACATGTTGATTCCCATTTCTTTTGAGTTTCTATCCTATTTCTTAGCTTCCAGGGTAGTTTGAAAATATTAGGGACTGATAACTCCATTTCCAAAGACAGTTCAATAAGGATGGCTTAAACAAAGCAGGTAGCCCTTAATATCTTTTCTTGCAAAAAAACAAACAAACCATGGAATTCCCCTATATTATGGAGTCTGGGATATTCAGAGAGCACTAGGCAAGACTTTGTCTCTGAAGGAAATATAAACTAGTGGGGAAGATTAGGAATACCCAATAAACTAAAACTCATCTGGGGAGCCTGGGAAGGGAGAGTAAGTATTCCATCTGTGGAACTGAGGGTGGTTTCCTGGAAGAAACTGAAGGACCAAGGAGTTTGTTTGCTTTTAGGATATTTCCCAATGTTCTTTTCCTTGGGGCATATGGCAAAGAGAGAGCCCTTGCAATAAAATACGGCTCCCTTTCCCCCAGCCCTCAACACCTCGGAACACATAACCTGAGAACTTCTTGAGGACTAAGCACAAATTGTTGCCATCTTTGCATCCCAACCTTGGTACACAACCTACTCAATAAAGGTTTATTAAATGAATAAATCCCTTAAGGTAGCTGAACACATCAATACCATTGTTTCCCAGGCTGAGAGTGAGGAGGTCTGGGCACACTAATTTTAGCAGGGACTCTCAAAGCTCTTTGGGGGCCCAGACCAGTTTGGTTGTGTTTATTGTCACCTCCTTAGAACTTGAGAGAGTACCTAACATATCCTGAGCACTCTAAATACTTGTTAACGTGAATCATGACAAAATACCCCTGGCCCTGTCCTCAGAGGCCACAGTTAGCCTGGAAGCCTGGGAAGAGTTCACCAGGAGAGATGGACTATCTTGGGTTTCCAAGGATTCTGACAGCCCTTGGGCGGCCAGAAGTCAATTTCACTTCCTCACTCAGCTCTTTGTTAGAGGTTGCAAATCGCCTCCTAACTCAGGTCAGGGGCAGCCGGTGCGTCCTTAAGCCCCCTGCGGGGAGCCCCAGAGCCGAGCCACCAAGAAAGGTAACCCAGTGGGGGGAGCCCGACAGCACGTGCAGCCGCCCAGGGGAGGAGGAGGCTGGGCTAGAGCAGTCCTTAGTCAGCAGCTGGGCTCGGTTTTGAAACAAAAGCCAATGTCCTCCCTCGGAGTCCGCGGCCGGTCAGCTGCTAGGGGAAAGAAAGCCATGCTGCCCAGCCGGTTAGTGGCCCAACTTACTTTTCCAGACCCTGGGACAAAGGGCCAGCAGTTGTACAGGAATGGGTGGGATGCTGGGATGGGAACGGGGGCACAAATCTCATTGACCTGCCCCTCCCAGGGGCTTGGGAGAAAGGCCGGGGTCTCCCATGCTCTGCGCACGTTGGTCCCGGGCAATGCGCCTCCGAGCCCGGGCCCCCGTCTGCGTAAAGCTAGGCACCTTTGCCACCAGCGCCCCAGAGCACAGACACACCAGGCCCCGGTTTCATGAATGAAATCCAATCGTGTGGATATAAATAGCCGGGAAGGCTGCTAACGTCACAGTGCGAGCGGCTGCCGCCACCCCGGCGGAGCTCGGTGCCGGGAGCTCTATTCCTCGGAGCTGGCCCGCCTGGGAGCGGGGTGGGGGCAGGAGGAGAGGGGGAGGGCTGGGGGGTGGAAAGGGGCGAACCCCTCTGTCCCCGGACAGGAAAGAGCGGCCGCGGCGCTGGGCGAGCCCGCCAGGCGAGGCAGTGCCATGCTGCCTTTGTGCAAAGTTGGGCGGCGAGCGGCACGCCGCGCGCAGGGGCCCCGCACACCCGCGACCGCGCGCAGTCGTGGCTGCTGCTGAGTGGCGGGGGGGCCCCCGCTCCCCCCAGCCCTTGAAGGCGGAGAGAGCTCGCGTCTCGCTCGGCTTCAGGGTAGGTTCTGTGTCGTGAGTGCGCTATGGTATGAAACTTCTCGCAGCAGCCGCCGCGGAGCCCCCACCGACCCGGCCCCAGCGGGTGGCATGTGGGGGCCCCCGGGGCCGCGCCACGCGGCAGGCAGCGTCCCAAGAGAGAGTTGTGGGACCGAGCTGCCCTAGGAGCCGCCCTTGCCTCTCCGCGAGGCCGGGAATCCTCACATCAGAGGCAAACAGAAGAGATTTCTAGGAGCGCCCGCACAGCCGCACCCCTAACTTGGAGCTGAGAAAATGAACAACAGGCACCCTTAGAAGGCTGGCTGCGCCAGGGGGGGTGGTGCCGCGCCGACGAGAGGGCTCTTTTCCTTGGAAGGACAGTGGCGGGAGCCGGAGGTCCCGAAGGGGGGAATACGCTCACCCCTTTGGTGCTTGCACCCCCGTGAGAGTTGACTGGTCAGCCCACAGTTTGGCGCTCCCCACCCCCAACCCCATGTCTATGGAGTCTGTTGTGAGTTGCTGTGACAACAGTAGGAGCTGCCTTGAGGGGCTTGCTAAACCTCTTACCTTGTCTCCCTGTGTTCAGCTTTTGGGGAGAACAATGGGGTGGGGGTGGGGAGGAGTATGCAAACAAGGGAAGCCAACCTCCTCTCCAAAAAACGAGAAGTGAGAGGAAGGCACAGCTATGTAAAAATATACCATTAGAACCTACTGTTGATTCTATCCTCAGCAGTATCAAACATCTCAACCGAGGAGCAATGTCAATATTTAGACTTGGACAAGCCAGAAAGTTAGAAGGGAGCGCCAAGCACAGGGTTTTGACTTGGCTTTGCACGTCAGCACACAAGCTGTGCCTTTCGAGCTGACTGTACACATTTGCTGGGGGGAAAAAAATGCATGAAGGTTGATACATACACAAAGGCACCCAGACCTTCCTAGGAAGATCTCGGAAGACCACAAGAGTCGTCTTGGCTTTGAACTTCTCCCAACCTGCGCTGTTCACTCAGCTCTGTTGAACTCCAGCCAGATGCTCAAGTTAAGGTTTCTTTAGTTTGGGGCTCTCCCACCCCAAAACGCACTGTGTTGCGTATTCTACACTGAACTGTGTATCCTCTCTAAACTGCAAAAATACTGTTATCAGTAGTTTCCATCTCTGTATACCTTCTCTCACTATCAGCAGATATAAATAGCCAATAATATGTGTTTGTTTGATCTCAGGTAAACTCTAGACTTTTGCAAACATACACTAAACACTCTTTAGAAATTTGGAATTATATTTAGTTTCCAATAACTTCGTAGATACCTAAGAGAGTCTCTGTTTGCTAAAAAATAAACACAAGTGTTTTTCAGTGGGAATAACGTCTGCACACTACTATTCTGCCGGTGGAGTGAGCAGTAAATTAGTACACGAAACAAGGTTTCCTCTGAGATGCCTGAATCATATTTGGACATATTAGTGGGAAAGGAGTTTAACCAGTCCAATCCAATGTGGAAGACCAAAAACTAATTAGGAAGAAGTAAAATCACAGTTGATATTCTTCTAAACTTGCCATTGATTGTTATTTTCCAAAATGTTGAAGGTAGTGTAAATTGAAGTACAAAAGTCTGTGTGTGATCAAGAGGTGGAAATAGAAACACAGATAGTTTGATGTCATTGGCTTAATAACAACTTATTGACTATTCAACTATACTTTAAAAGGGAAAAAAATAGAATCATTTGGACTTTTGCTTATGATAATATCTAAAAATGTTACTTTGGAGGAATATCATGTCTCTTCTGTGACTTCTGTATTGTAAAATGCCTGTAAGATTTTCCTTGTTCCTATCCTTGGGTTTGTGGCCAAATGCTTTTTTTGTACCATTCCCAAATGTTCAGAAATATATTTTCACAAATGCTACAAAATGCTAACCCAGCTATTTCAGGATGTATTTGACCCAAAGAAATGCTACTTTAACACTGGCACCTAGCAAAATTGAAGCAGATTCTGCCCCTTGGCGGGGGTAAGGGGTGGGTATATTGATCATTTCAGTGACTCCTCATGTGCTCCTAGAAAGCAGTAGGATTTATAAACTATTTCTCTCTTTCGTGTAGGTAAGTCCAGCTGTGAGCAGAGTGTTCTGTTCTTCACTTCCAGTGAGCCAGGTTAGTGCCTTTGTACAAACCATGACCACAGATTACATCCTGTGTGATTCTGAGCATGCATCTTAGAGCAGGTTTCTTGGTGAATTTATCTTACAACAATTTGTCTTTGTCATATTTTAATGGAATCATTTATGAACATCATAAGTTCAGTGATTATTAGAATTATTCTATTTGCTCTGTGAGTAAAATGGCACTAAAATGGACCTTGAATCAGTTTGTCCTTTATGAGATTTGGGGGGCGGGGTGGGGGAAATGGGATAAAAGTGATGCATGGAGATCTGGGTGCTTGATAATTAAAGTTTTACTTCTATACTAATCTTAGTACTCTAGAGCTCGAAGAAACTTGATATAATAGTAGTTGACATTTTTGAGCATGAACCAAAGTTCAGGTAATGTGCTGCATTCTTTTTCTTTTTCTTTTTTTAAATACTTTTATAGATTTGAGAGGCAGTGGAGGCGAAAACACATCGATGTGAGAGAGAAACATCAATGGGTTGTTTTCCATGCATACCCCTACCAGGATCCAAACCCACAACCCGGGCATGTGCCCTGATCAGGAATCAAACCAGTGACATTTTGGTGCATGGTACAATGCTCAACCAACTGAGCCGCACTGGCCATGGCTATGCTGCATTCTTCACATTTATGTTCTCATTCTGCATCTAACATACTCCCTGTGATGTGAAATTACTCTCTTGATCCCCAAACAACAGGTGAAGAATTGGAAGTTCAGAGAGATTAGTTGTGGTGAATGGAAGAAATAGGGTTGTTGTTTTTTTAAAGTTCTATCTTACTCTAAAAACTAAACTCTAGTTGAAAAATTCTGCTTCAGTAGGGAAACTGGGGCCAAAAAAGTTAAGTGACTTGCCCAATATAACTTGATAATTACAGCTCATATCATACAGCTGTTATAAAAAATATAAATTTCACTTTTTAAAGTAGAACAATGAAATAATAAGTATTCATATCTACTTTCTGGCATGGGACTGTCAAAGATTTAAGTAAGTTTTTGTCATGAGATCTCTGGTCCTAAGGAACCTACAGATTTAAAAGGTAAGATTGTAAACATTCACATATGAAAAATTAGAGGCGAAATCAAGATCATACACACCAAAAGGCTGAATGGGAGGTCACTTGTATATTTACGAGAAGTTCAGCATTTTCCACTCTGTGGGATTACTTTGTCATTGTGGGGTGGGAAATATTCCAATACATGTTTTGTCTGGATAGATGATAAATGGGTGAGAGTTTACGCAAAGACAGAAAGTAGAATTTCAACCAAACTAGAAGAAATTTTGGATTTTGCAGTCATTTAGAACCACTAAATTACAGTATCTCAAACTCAAAGGTGTTATTGCTTCAAAAGCATTGTACAAAATTATGAGCTGTTTGAGTCTGCATAGCATCTTTGAGAAAGCATTACAGTTTGGCATATTGCTTCAACGTACTGTAATCCTTCTGAAATTTCAATTTGTCTGAAATATGCCATGTAATGGATTTGGATACATAATAGATAAATCCAAACCAAAGTCCTGAAAATAGCCAACATTTATAGATTAAGTAAGACATTTTCAGTTTTTGCCTGGGTTGATAGCCTTCTTTTCCCTCTTCCCTACTTTTTGTAGAATAATTTGTAACCACTGTTAATCCTTCTTAGGGGGTATTATATAAAAGGGTAACTTAAAAAAAAAAAGAAATGGAAACAAATCACTAAAGAAAACCTTAATATATCATCTTTTTTTAATGTACTGATACTATCAACTCAAGCTAATAGCCCTAAAAGCTTAATTCGTTAAGATATACTGTTAAGCACTGGCCAGTCTGGCTCAGCAGTTAGAGTATTGGCCCACAGGCCAAGGAGTACTGGGTTCGGTTCCCACTAAAGGTATGTACCTCAGTTGCAGTTTGTCCCTGACACCAAGGGTCGTGTGGGTGGCAGCCACTTGATGTGTCTCTCTCACACTGATGTTTCTCTCTCTCTCTTCCTCCCTCTATCCCTCCCACTCTATAAAAAAAAATAAAATAAATAAAAAATATATACCTTTAAGCATTTAACCACAACAGCTTTGTCCTGTAAAATTGTTATAGTATATCATTACAAAATAGATCATAAAAGCACTATTATACTTATACTGGTAAAATCCCATTACAGGTTGAGACCTCAGCATCAGCTGATATTTGGTCATAAATATATCAATATAGCAACTAAAAACCTATAATTGCTTAAAGAGTAAAATTATACTCTGAATTGCATAGTGTTAGCACCAAAAGAGATCCTAGAATCTGTGTGATGTCTCGAATGATAATTTAATTAGCGGTTATTTCTTTGCTTTTTTGTTGTTGTTGTTCAGAATGCTTTCATTAATATGCTTGGCTTATCTCAAAACATGGCTGGAAACATTTGAAATTTTACTATGTTTTTTGCTCAGGAAATTTACCTATATAAAACAAAGAAAAAAATGTTTAATCTTTCTGTTGGTCTTCGTTTTAGAAAATAGGCAGTTCAATTTCATTATCTGAAGGCCTCGCTTGGGCTTTATGTAATGGGGCTAGTTCAAAGAGGTCAGGTGATTTGAATCTGGTTCTTGTGTTCATCTTTTTTTTTTCTCCACCCAAGCTTTGACCAACGTCACAGAGCCGAAACAAAACTTGCAGAAAGGAGAAAAAATAAGTCACAAAAAGTAGAAAGGGGCGGGAAGTGGCAGTGCGTGCGTGGGGGAGGAGAAGGGAAGGCTCGGACGGGGAGGCCAAGAGGCAGTCCCTCGAAGGGATGGGGTGTGTGTGGATTGGTTATTTATGTCAGCATCAGAACTATTTTGTTTCTTTATCATATAAACAAAGTAAGTCACCTCCTCCTCTTCCTAGAACCTTTTGTTCCTGGGCATATAGGGCAGACATTGGGCAATGGGCAATAAGACACAAATGAAATGTGGGTATGACAGTACTCTTTCCAAATGTCCAAGCACACTCTGGTCTTCAAATACTTTGATAAGGTTTTATCTACTAGGAGGTGAATTAGAAAGTTAAAAAAAAAAAGAAAGAGTTGCCAATAACTCCAGAAGGTACATTGCATTCCTCCATTCTGCACCTGAGTTTATTTATTGCACAGACGTGGTTCACAACAAGTTCCCAGTGCTAATGAAGTTACCATCTCAGGTTCCGTCCCACGGGAGACATTGCCTTTGAATTGTTACCCAATCAGAGTTCCAATCCCTAATGACCAACCAGATAACAATAACCAGCACTTATTATGCTCCTACTAGATGCCAAACATTTTACTACATTACAGCTAATGTTCATTATCTATTTGAATTTACAGAAGTCAAAAACGGAACTCAGATATGTTAAGTCAAAGAGCTCATAGGAGGTAGAGCTTGAATTTGCACCCAGATCTAAGAACGTGAATATATATTTGTCTTAAAGAAAGGCGCAGAAATAAAAATAACACTTTAAACCATGTTATTCCAGCTAACTCTTACAGATGGTAGAGTATAGGAGTTAAATATTTATTGTTATGGGGTTTTTTTATTTTATTTTAATGTAACTTGAATCACAGAGAGGGCTTGTCTCAACATTTTTGTGAATTCTTCAGGTCATTTCTAATAAATTTTAAACAGCTGAGTCATGGAGGGTTGAATCATGGATCCAGAAGAGTTCTTAAGGATACTTAACCCAACTTCATGTAGGTGAAAAAAACCGTCACCTAGAGAAGTGGTATAATTTACTCACTCTCATAGTTAATAAGTGACACATCTGGAATGGAACCCAGGTTTCCAAGTCCCAGACCAGGTCTCAATTCTATTACATAACACTGGCAGAAAAATGCCAAGTCTTCTAAACCCTCCAAATTAGCCAAAATTACAACTGTCGGTATGAAATACATTTGAAACTTACGCTACATCCAGAAATGGGTAATAAGAGGATCCAGCAGTGTAAAGGTATGTTGAGTATTAAGAGAACCCTCACTTATCTTCATTGACACCGATATGGAAAATTCTTTCCTCTTATTCAGAGCATAGTAGCCCCATACTCGGATTCCTGCCAAGCTCTTTGTTGAGCAATCTATTTTAATCAAGTAAGGACCTATTTAATTTTGTCTGTGGACTGCCAGATTTTTATTCACTACATGCATGGCTGAAATAATTCTTGGACCTCATTTTGCTAATCTGTAAAATGGGGATGGTGTCACCTCCCTCAGAGGATTATGATGATTTTATGAAATCATACTGATCACCCCCTCCCCCCACCCGGCATTGTTGTCTATGTCCATTGATTACACATACATACATATAAGTTCTTTGGTTTGTCTCCTCCATCCGCCCTGCCTCCCTCCTCTGAGGTTTCTCAATCTGAACCCTACTCCTTTCTATGTCTCTGGGCCTATTTTGTTCATTATATTCCACAAATTAGTGAGATCATATGTTATTTGTCTTTCTCTGATTGGCATATTTTGCTTAGCATAATGCTCTCCAGGTTTCTCTATGTCATCTCAAAGAATAAGCGATCTCTCCTTTTTACAGCTGCATAGTGTTCCATTGTGCATATGTACCGCACTTTTTTTATCCACTCATCTATTGATAAACACTTGGGCTGTTTCCAGATCTTAGTAATTATAGATAGTGCTGCTATGAACATTGGAAGAGGGTATCTGGGAGGTGGGGGTGCTGGGAGAAACATCTCTAACAAACATAAATTAATAAACATTGAGGAAAAATGAAATCACAGAAGTCAAGCACATAGTAGGTGCTCAATAAGAGTTAGTTCTCTCCTTAGCCTTCCTCAGTTATTCTGAAGGAAAATGTTATAACACATTAGGGCAGGCATATCATTTAACTCCTAAATGTACTGGAGTCATTTGAGTTCTGATAATGCAAGGGATGGTTATAGTAACCTTTTTTCTTGGGTAAAAACAGGCAGGATGGTCTTTCTGGGTACCAGTGTCCCAGTCGCAATTACATTTGATTTGTTTTCTTCCCATTCTAGGGTTGCCAAAGTTTACT